ACAACAACAACAACAACAACAACAACAACAACAACAACAACAACAACAACAACGACAGCAGTCACCACCACCACCACCACAACAAAAACAACCAGAAAAACAACAGCAACAGCAGCAGCACTTATACGACCTTATTGTGTTGCAAATGCCGAAAAAACTCTTAACAAAAACTAAATGTAATAATATGTTCCCTCCCTCAGGTTTCACGGGCATCAACTGTGAGACAGAGATAGATGAGTGTGACACGCCCCAGGGGAACCCGTGTCGTAATGGCGGGGTCTGTGAGGACCACATCAATAGGTTCAGCTGCTCCTGTCCTGCCGGTCAGTCTGTCTGTCTGTTTGTTTGTTTGTTTGTCTGTTTGTTTGTCTGTTTGTTTGTTTGTCATTCTTTTTGTTTGTCATTCGGTTTGTTTGTTTATTTGTTTGTTTGTTTGGTTGTTTGTTTGGTTGTTTATCTGTCTGGTTTTTGTCTGGTTTTCTGTATGTTTGTCTGTTTGTTTGTTTGTATGTTTGTTTGTCTGTTTGCTTTTGTATGTTTGGTTTGTATGTTTATCTGTTTGTCAGTTTGTTTGTTTATTTATTTGTCTGTTTGTTTGTTTTTGCATGTTTCTTTGTCTGTCTTTCTGTGTGTCTGTCACGTCTGTCTCAGTCTTCTTCCTCTTGTGGGTGGTTGGCGGGTGCTCTGGTGGGGTTTGCTCCTTCTTTCCTATCAAACATCTATCGTCCTGATCTCTCCTTCTTTTCTGTGTTTGTTACTCTCTTGTAACACCTCTAATCTTTTGGCGCTCCTGTGACCTTATTCAGTTGCGAGCGCCGTAAAACCTCTTCTAAAACAAACTATCATCTTTCTTTGTTATGTTTGCTACTCTCTTGTAACACAAGCTCTAAACTCCGGCACTTGTATACCTATTCTTATTGCAGGTACCGCGTAAAACCTTTTCTTAAACTACAACTGTGTGGTGCTCTGGTGTGGTTTGCTTCCTCTTTCCTATCAAACATCTATCGTCCTTATCTTTCCTCCTTCTTTTTTGTGTTTGTTACTCTCTTGTAACGCCTCTAATCTTCGACACTTATATGACCTTATTGTGTTGCAAATGCCGCAAAACTTTACTTGTGAGTGGTTGGCGGGTGCTCTAGTGTATTTTGCACCTTCTTTGTTATCAAACATCAATCGTCTTAATCTCTCTCCTCTTTCTTTTTTATGTTTGTTACTCTTTTGTAACATATCTAATCTTCGGCTCTTGTATGACCTTATTGTGTTGCAAGTGCCGCAAAACTTTACTAAAGAACAAAAGTTTTTAAAACTTATATATTTATATTGTCACCCAGGCTTCGAGGGTCGGACGTGTGAGATCAACATTAACGAGTGTGAGGTGAGGCCTTGTCTCAATGGAGGGTCCTGCCTGGACAACATCAACAGCTACATCTGCCAGTGTCAGAAAGGTGAGAGGGGAGAGGGGAGGGAGAGTGGAGGGGTGAGGGGAGGGAGAGTGGAGGGGT